TTCAGTTTCAATTAGTTCAGTTCAATTCAGCTCTAATCAGTTCAGTTCAGCTCCTAATTTCCTTTTCTCATAAAATATTCATTTCAACTCTATTCAATTCAGTTCAGTTCCAATTAATTCAGTTCAGCTCAGTTCAGTAAATGCGAGCATGCCCTAAGTTCAGTTAAGTTTAGACTTTAGATAAGTGTCGTTTAGAAAAAAAATAAGTTTTGACAAATACAAATAAAATAGGTTTTAGTAAGGTATAATGAGTTTAGGTAAATCCTGAAAAGTTTAGTTTAAAAAATTAGTTTAAATGAGTAAAAATTAAGGGAATAAAACACATCATATAGTGTAATTTGAATATTCATACTTATTGGATTATATTGAATGAATTTTATACTTTTTGGATAATATATAATAATTAAAAAATCAATCAATATGCAATTATTTAATTAGGGCTGCTTGTGTAACACCCAATATATTTTTTTCTTATGGTATGCAATATTTAGGGATGCTTATGTAATATTGTAATATAGTTAGCCAATTTCTCACCCAAATTTAGCCCATACTTTTGGCGCCATCCATTTTTAAATATTTTACACGTCACAAAACCGTGTATTGTAAATCTTTATCCTCTCCACCGTTGGCTTTTTGTCATCCTTTTTCAAATCAACATGCATTGATTTTTACAAGTAATTTATTTATTTAAAATTGACGTGAAAAACTTAATTTGGTAAGTTGCTTGGTAATTATCCTACATCATCTTTATTCTTTAGTTGGGCATGATCCAAATACTACGTATATCTTTGTCCTGTCAAAAAACACATCATAAATTATGTAATGAAAAATAAGTTTTACAACAATGTTTTCTACATTTGGCAAATTTTACCATAGTATACAATAATTTTTTGGTAAGGATTTTAACTTTTTTTGGAATATATTCACAAGTGATTTTCTCTTTAAAAACACTTATTTTAATGTTTACTTTTCTTTACGATATGGATAAGATGAAACAATTTAATCTAGATTTAATATTTTGAAAATGGGTTATAGATAAAAACGCCACATCAACAATATATTTATATCATATGTTCTGGATACATATTTCTATTCATGTGTTTGTGTTAATTTAAATGTACACATTTTACCATAATATCTTTAAGTTTTAAGTTTAACCATGTGAATGACCAATGAAAAAAACAAAGTGCTATAGGGAATGCTATGTATTGTGGACAACCAACCGTTGCCTTAAAAGATGCTCGCAAGGAGTAATAAATACAAAGTGCATTCTCTTCAATCTTGATCTATCTATCTAGCTCCACTTTACAAACTTGACTTAAGGGTCTGTTCTCTTGAAATTATTTACAATTTAGTTCAGCTCAATCAATCAGTTCAGTTCAATTCAATTCAGTTTTTAATTTCCTTCTCTCATTAAATATTTTGTTCAGTTCAGCTTCAATAAGTTCGGTTCAATTCAACTCAGTTCAGTCAATCAGAACAGACCCTAAATGTACACCCACAAATACGGAGACATAATTATGTATTATTGGTAAAGAAACACAAAAAAAAACACAATTTTGGAATTTTGGGTGTTTTATCTCTTTTTATTGAAAGTAATACTTCCTATATGTAAATTGGGATATAAGGTGAAAGATTAATTGCATTGTATATGGTTGTAAGAATGAAACATATATTTATTTTGTCAAAAATGACAATGTCAAACTGAATTAAAGCTCGTGATAAAGCACAAATTGAGTAATTTAATGTGTTTTCCAAGACTAAAATAAAAAGTTTGAGATTACTATGAATTAAACCACACTTAATGAGTTGAACTTTAGAGGGGTGAGTACTAACTTAAATAGGGGTTGTTCACTTCAGCTTAATTTCAGTTCACATCAATTCCAATCAATTCAGTTCAACTCCTATTTTTTCTCTCTCATTCATTTCAGCTATAATCAGTTCAGTTTAATTCAGCTCAGCTTCAATCAATTCAATCTATTTCAGTTAAGCTCAATTCAGTAAATATGAACAGGCCCTTAGTAGCTAGAAGGTACAGTTTGAGTTTTGGCCCCTCTTCCCTCCAATGTCCAAAATGACTTTCTTATAAAATTTTCTAGACTCAATAATGATAAAAAGTAGTTGCGCACTCGTTCCTTTAAAATTATGCCCAATTATATTTATTATTTTTTTTTAATGAAGAATGCGATTTAAGGTAATTCTTCCCATTCAAGAAATTAGTTAATTCATTCACATGAAAAAAAAAAAAAAAACCTTGAATATTAAACAGTTGAGAATTTGGGTGAAGGAATAGTTTTAGGACCAACTACAAAAATTGCCAACATTAATTACTGATTTGTAGTATGATTACCTTCTACAAACTTCATTATATGAAATTAATGAGGATTGAACCCATAAATTCAAGTCTCTACACTTTGAACCTTTGCCTCTCCATATTAAATGTGCTCACTTAAGCAACCATATTTGGTTCCAATTGGACAAAAATGTCTTAAGTTCATAAATAAAAAATTTCCGCACCAGTGACAAGTGGCACGTTATCTGTTTAGTAGTTGACATTACCGCATAGCGCATAACATATTTTCGGAAAAAAAAGTAGAGAGAAAGGCATTTCAAAATTTAGAAACAAATTATCTATAGATTTAGTTTATACCATACTTCGTATATAATACGCAGGGATGACAATGGGGTGGCTCGAATGCGGATGATGGTACCTCTATACTCATACCCTCTTAAAAATCTTATACCCATCCCCGCGACCCCGCCTCACCACCCGTGGTGGGTACAAAATCCACATCCATACCTGCCTTGCCGAGTATAAGATAATCTAGAGGGTGGTGTACCCGGGCCTTGGCCCCCCTATGCCCATATTTTGATACATATAAATAAAAAATCTTGTGTAAAATATATAAGTTTTGTAGCTGGTTTAGTTGGTTAGATACTTGATGTATAGATGTGAGAAGGTTAAGGGTTCAATTCCCCTTTTTTGCACATTTCTTTTAAATAAATTCTAGATTCGCCCTCGTCCTAGGGATGGCAATTTAATCCGGATTCGATTCGAAGGAAAAAGTTCGATTCGAATCCGAAATAGAAAAAATCCGAAACCGAAACCGATAAAAAAGTCCGAGTCCTAATAGGATTCGGACCCTGTGAAGAGTCCGATCCGAGTCCGACCAAGTCCGGCTTTTTAAGTATGTGGTAGATACATAATTATATACTTGGTATAAAAGCCCAATAAGAAACCCTAAACCTCCTAAAAGCCGCCTCTTTACTCCATTATTTCATTTTCTCACTCATTCTCTTTACCCTGCCTCTTTCTCTCTCCTTACTTTTCACTGAAAACACACCTTCATAAGTTCATAACTCAATACTCATGATAACATTCCTCAATCCTCATAACTCTTACTCTTGCTTTACCTGCATACTACCAGTTATACGATTAGCATCAATTTAAGAAGTTTTCGCCGCGCTGGAGTTATTATTGTTTTGAAGACTCAAATATCAAAGCTACACATCTTCTAGATTTTGATGTATATAGTTTGTACTCATTTTTTAGATCTGAATTTTTAAGATTTGATTTTACTTCGTATACTATGTTATATTTTTGTTTGTTAATTTAAGAAATTTGCTAATAAATTATTTCAGGCTCATGCTTTTCTTTCACCTTTATGTTTCATGTTTAATTACACCATTTTTTTGAATTAAAGTATTGAACCTTCAAAGATATTGGAAAAAAAAATCACCAAATGCTATTTAAATTTGCCGGATTCGAATTCGGATTCGGAGGTCCAAGACCGATTGACGCGGATTCGGATGCAGTTGGTTCGAATTCGGATGCGGACTTGGAGGTGAATATAGGATCCGTTTGTTAATCGGATCGGATTCGGACATAGTAAGGTCCGACCCGACTCCGATCCGTTGCCATTCCTACCCTGCCCACTGCCATGATTTTTTTTATTTTTTATTTTTTTTTTGACAAGAAGAAAAAGAGATTTCATTAATAAAATAAAGTCAAACGTCATTTACATATAATTCCAAAGAATCAAGAATTTCAACACAAGTACACACCTTAAAACTAAATAATACATCGTAGATTTGATTAGTAATCGCTTTAATAGAAACCTTCATCTGAAGCAATATAATCTGTGAGTTCGTCATGATGTTTTATTGTATCAAATTAATGATAATTATATCAAATTATGTTAAAAAATTTAGTAGTCTTATTGTTTGGGCGGATTGGGCCTTCGGGGATATCAAGTTTCAAAAATTCTAAACTATTATAGTGGGATTATGGGATAGGTATAAGGCGGGTATGGGACAGGACGAGGATGAGACAAGTCTCCCATTTAACTTGATCCACTGCCATCCCTAATAATACGTACAAGTAGTATATGATATTGAGTATATTAGTGTTATATATGGCTTAATAATGATCTCGAAATGCATACTTTTGTATTATTTTTTTTGGCAAAAAAGTAAATTAAGGATGCATCATATATTCATATGCACATGATAATCTATTTAAACTCATAGATTATATTAGATTGTATTTTGTTTTAAAGTGAATGAGTTTGTGTCCAATTTCCTTAGTATCTTTTATTCACATTTGGTCTTAAAACTTTTCTTTAATAATTAGAGGCTTCAGTGTAGAAAATGATGGAAGTAAATTTTTTGTTTTAAGGAAAATGTAAAAATTGCATTTGAAAATACCAATTTTAGACAAAACACCATCAATCATTCTTAAGTTCTCACTTAATAGGAAAAGTTGGAAGATTTCAATAATTTTTTTTTTAACAAAGATTTCATATTTCATACCACAGGACTCAAGCCCACAACAAGTATGTAGTTATGTAAATAAATAAATAAATAAAAGTACTTCATATTAAAAAAAAAAAAAAAACAATAAAAAATAGTTTTTTTTTTTAAAAAAAAAAAAAATTTTCCTCATTTCTCTCTCTATAAAATCGGTCTCTCACAAATCTCACATTTCCTCTCCTCTTCTCCTCTTTCAAACCCTCTTCTTCTCTCTCTCTCCTTATCTTCATCAACCTCCCCCCCCCCCCAAAAAAAAAGAAAAAAAAGAAAAAAAAATATGGGTGTTGTTCTTCTTCCAGATCTCGGAACAGAGATTTTGATTCCAGTTTGTGGGGTAATTGGAATCGTTTTCTCTTTAGTTCAATGGTACATCGTTTCACAGGTTAAGCTTTCCCCTGATTCTGGGCGTAGTAACAATAATAAGAATGGATACTCTGAGAGTTTGATTGAAGAAGAAGAAGGTCTCAATGACCCTGGCGTTGTTGCAAAATGTGCTGAGATTCAGAGTGCTATTTCTGAAGGTGGACTAATTTCTCATTTTTTGGGGTTTTATTTTTAAATATTTGTTTCTGAGTTCATTTTGATTGATTTATTTATTTATTTTCTTAAATCTCTGGGTTCATTTTGATTTTTTTTTTTATTTTTTATTTTTTATTTCTGGGTTTGTTTGATCTAATCTGTGTGATTTGATTTGGATGATTTATGGGTTTGTGTTAATTTTGCTGGATATTTTGTTGTATACATTGATGGAATCGAAATTCTGTGTGTGTGTGTGTTTTTTTTTTTGTGGAAATGTGTCCAAGATTAATTCATTTTTGGGTGTGTATTATTTTTGTGATTTTAATTTTGTGGGGTTCTTTAAGTAGGATTTTTACTTCATAAATTAATTCTATATAAAAAAAAATCAAATTTGGGAGCTCTATTTATCGGCAATTCTAGATTTTGAGTTTAACTTTTTATTTATTTATCTGGGCTGTGATTTAAATGCTTAGAATTAAAAATGATAATGGAGAATTTGATGTAAATGCTTATGATTTGAATTATTATTGACCCTTTAAATATATTCTATGTGTTCAAGAAATTAATTTTGGATATTTCTTTGCAATTTATAGTCATTTGGGAATTTTTGCATAATTTTTAGATTTGGTTTGGAATTTTGATACTTAAATATAATTGGACTCTTATAATTGCTGATTGGTGGAGAAAATGGCTTCTCCTTTAATCTGCATTTGAAGAGATTGATTTTATCACATGGAATATGATATTATAGTGTCGGTCAATTGCTGTTAAATTCATTGTTAGCTCACACATTTTCAGCTTGCATTGGCAATTTGGTTGTACATGTGGATTAAGGAAAGAGCAAAAACCTTTCGAATTTGTAACTGTCATTTGGTTGTAGTTTTGGACCAAGAAAAGAGCAGAAAACTTTAGAACTTGTAATTTTTGTTATTTGATTAATTTATTTGTGTGGCTTACATTGTGTGGTGATAATTTAGATTGGGAATTGTTCAATAAGTTGTGGAATACATGACCTGTGAAATTTAATTTCAATACTATCAACTATGTATATGTTTGTGCCATTCAACCTTTTGCATTTGACTCTTTCTTCCAGATCTGATTGTTTTTATAATTGTTTAAGCTTTGATATTGCGCTTGACTGTGTACTTTCATGTAGGGAACTACGGAATTGTTCAATAAGCTGTGGTTTAAGTCGGTAGGGTTTAGTAGGATTTATGAAAAGATTCGGAAGTTGTGAGGTTAATGTGCTATATTTGTTTGCTAGTCATGTTGTTGCGATCATGATTATGCTGATTTTGGGTCCGATGCCCACGAATGTTGGGATACTGTGCCGCTATGAGATTTCTATATAGTAAAATTAGTGATATAATTTGTCAAATCCTAGGAGTTCTCAATCTAGATCTGATGTTTAATTATATCTTTAATGTTTTGCACATGGTGTGCAGACTTACAAATCAAGGCTTTTTGTCAATTTCTTTTTAGTTCTAAAATATGCACATTTGCTCTGTATGGCATCTTGTTTGTGCAGTTGGGATTTGTATTTATAGTATAGCTCTGCAAGTGTGAACTGGCATGTTGTCCTTTCAGGACTAATATATTGTGGAACATGCTGCTTGTGATCTTGTTTTAGCGGCGTTACTGGGAAATGGGGGACATTAAGGCTTGTATAATGCTCGGCTTTGTACTGCTTGTGTGTTTTAGTTATTTGTTTATTCCCCCTTCCCATTTACGACTACTTTATTCTTTAATTTTATTCTTCATACTTTAATTTATTTGTTTATATATTTTTCCAAATAGCCTTACTTTTTGATTTTTTTTCTTTTCTTTTCTTTTCTTTTTGTAATGTTTTGTTTTACATTGATTAAAAGACAGTGTAAATTTTGTTATGGGCCGTTTTATGTCGTGGGCCATGATATTGACTTCAACTGACAAGTATACTGTCTTTGTTTTCTTTAAGCCCATTTGTGTATGTGTGGGTGGGCTTTTGGACAATCTTAAAAACTAATAGTTCCCTTTGTGGGTTACAGTGACTAGTCGGAGAATTGAGCTTCCATGATGCTGCTTTGCTTAATTGATTCCTTCCGTCTCTGATGTTTGAGTTCTAGTTTTTCAGTTTGAAATATCTGTTTCTTCATGTATAGCTTCTTGCTTAGTCGTATGAGTGTATGACATCAAGCTGCCTCTATTCTTGTTATCAAAGTTTTAAGAGTATTGTTTAGAATTGTGGAATTTTTGATGTCAAGTTTCTGCATGGTATGATACTGTTCCTGTGATGTGATGATACTGTAAAAAGTATTTTATGTAAACAATGTGTTAGCTTCATCAATGCTGCGTGAAAGCAAACTTGACCAAATAACAGAATTGAATAGATTATATAATTTCTTTTGATTTTTGGTGGCTCTTCTGGTTGCACTGTAAATATTTTGTCATGATTCTAGCTTTACCATTACCTTATTTCACAATAGGATGTGAAGACACTTTATATGCTGGCTGGATCTTATATTCTAGTTCTAGTTGAGATTTTGGCTGTTAGGTTATGAAAAGAATGCTTGTGTATCTGAAGTTTTTTCTTGATATGTTTTGCGGAATTTAAACTTAGGTAGAGATATAAAACTGTGCATAAACTATCATTTTTCAAATGTGCTGTCAATTCTTTTGTATTTTTTTTAATTGATGAGTTGCTAACATTACATTGTGCATTACTTTTACAGGAGCAACCTCCTTCCTGTACACTATGTATTTTTATGTTGGCATCTTCATGGTTGCTTTTGCTGTGCTGATATTCGTTTTCCTCGGATCTGTGGAGGGTTTCAGTACAAAAAACCAGGAGTGCACCTATGACAAATCCAAGACCTGCAAACCTGCACTTGCCACTGCTGTCTTCAGCACAGTGTCATTTTTGCTTGGTGCTATCACCTCTTTGGCTTCTGGTTTCCTTGGGATGAAGATTGCAACATATGCAAATGCACGAACAACACTAGAGGCCAGAAAGAGTGTTGGTAAAGCTTTTATTGTAGCATTCAGGTCTGGAGCTGTCATGGGCTTCCTGCTTGCAGCAAATGGTCTTTTGGTGCTTTACATTACCATCCTGCTCTTTAAGCTGTACTATGGTGATGACTGGGAAGGTCTTTTTGAGGCTATCACTGGTTACGGTCTTGGAGGATCTTCCATGGCCCTCTTTGGCAGAGTTGGTGGAGGTATTTACACCAAAGCTGCTGATGTTGGTGCTGATCTTGTCGGTAAAATTGAAAGAAACATCCCCGAGGATGACCCTAGGAATCCAGCTGTAAGCCTTCCTCTCACTCTCAGTGAAATGTTAGATATTTATATTCAACTTTAATAGTTGAATGAGTTGTTTGTATATTGTAGCATGGTGACTACTGACTTACATGGGTGCCTATTTTTCTTTTTAGGTTATTGCTGACAATGTCGGTGATAATGTTGGTGATATTGCTGGTATGGGTTCCGATCTCTTTGGATCCTTTGCTGAGTCATCCTGTGCTGCTCTTGTCGTGGCATCAATTTCCTCATTTGGGATCAATCATGAATTTACTGCAATATTGTACCCACTATTGATCAGCTCTGTTGGTATTGTTATCTGTTTGATCACAACTTTATTTGCAACTGATTTCTTCGAGATCAAGGCTGTTAAGGAGATTGAGCCTGCACTCAAGAAGCAACTAGTCATCTCCACTGGTCTAATGACTGTTGCAGTTGCAGTTATTTCATGGGTTGCCCTTCCTTCTTCATTTACCATTTTTGATTTTGGAACTCAGAGGGAGGTAAAGAACTGGTAAGCGACTTCTCCTACCCTTAGCCTCTTTCTTGTATTATAAGCTTCTTTAAATATCAAAACTTTGCTGTATTTTTTATGAGTAGTAGTATGTTTACTTGATTTGATTTTCCACATCATGCAAGTATTCATATCGTTTCTTTGGGCTAATTGCTTCTCTTTCAATGTGTAGGCAATTGTTCTTATGTGTTGCTGTTGGTTTGTGGGCTGGTCTCATCATTGGATTTGTAACTGAATACTATACTAGCAATGCATACAGGTATCTCTCATGATAACTACCATCTCTACTAATCTACTTGCTCTTTGTTTTTGGCTAAACTCTGACTGTCATCTACAATTGTAGCCCTGTGCAAGATGTTGCTGATTCATGCCGAACTGGAGCTGCCACAAATGTTATTTTTGGCCTGGCTTTGGGTTACAAATCAGTCATTATCCCCATATTTGCCATTGCTGTCAGTATATTTGTTAGTTTTAGCTTTGCAGCCATGTATGGAATTGCTGTGGCTGCCCTTGGTATGCTGAGCACCATTGCCACTGGATTAGCTATCGATGCATATGGCCCCATCAGTGACAATGCTGGAGGTATTGCTGAGATGGCTGGTATGAGTCACAGCATCCGTGAGAGAACCGACGCTCTTGATGCTGCTGGAAACACAACTGCTGCTATTGGAAAGGTATTGCAATTCTTATTTCTTGGTGTATAATTCTTCTGGATAACCAATAGGTGGCTGATCAAATATGGGGTTGGCCCCAAGACTTAGCTTACATATAATGTCTGGTGGCTATGCTAATAAGCTAGTTTACACCTCTGATCAGCTTTGAGGTTTTTTATTGGTTAACACCTGCCTATGTAAGCATGTCAAAAAATAATCTTCTCTTACCAATTTGCTGTGGTACTTTTCAGGGTTTTGCCATTGGTTCTGCAGCTCTTGTTTCTCTAGCCCTTTTTGGTGCTTTTGTGAGCCGTGCTGCTATCTCAACTGTTGATGTCTTGACCCCAAAAGTCTTCATTGGCCTTCTTGTGGGAGCCATGCTTCCGTACTGGTTCTCTGCCATGACCATGAAGAGTGTGGGAAGTGCAGCTTTGAAGATGGTTGAAGAGGTCCGTAGGCAATTTAATGAAATCCCTGGCTTGATGGAAGGTACTACCAAGCCTGACTACGCTAACTGTGTCAAGATCTCCACTGATGCTTCCATCAAGGAGATGATCCCCCCTGGTGCTCTAGTCATGCTGACACCATTGATTGTTGGAACCCTCTTCGGTGTTGAAACTCTTTCTGGTGTTCTTGCTGGTTCTCTCGTGTCTGGTGTACAGGTAAGAATAAGTCCTTTTCTTCGACTGTGCTGTCTATTAAAAATTGAGTTATATTGAATATGTGTAATTGTTTTTTTTGGGTGCGGGGGGAGGAGGGGGAGGGGGGGGGGGTATAGGAGAGAGACGCAAACCTTCCTATTACCGCATGTTTTATAGGGAGTCTAAAATTCCAATTGCTGGATTTAAAATTCCTGTGTACATTTTTCTACAGTTTTGTCTAGTTGATTAGTTATTAAGATGAGAATTGGGATTTTCTTCTGCACCTAAATCAAATCCCCGTGTTAGAATCAACATGCATCTGTATTGAGATTTTTCCTTGTATATAGTATTTTGTTGTTTAGTTAATTAAGATTAAAATCCTTTATTTGCATTACAGATCGCTATTTCTGCATCCAACACTGGTGGTGCTTGGGACAATGCCAAGAAATACATTGAGGTAAGCAATTGACGCCCCATGATTCTACCTTCCACTTTGTGTTGCCTTAGCTCTATGCTGAAAAAACTAGTAAATTCTTTTACAATAGTGTGTCTTGTGTTAACAGAAACAACTCTATGAAATGAGGTCATTGTATTAATTCTGTTACAATAACTTGTTGCAGGCTGGTGCTTCTGAGCATGCAGTGTCGCTCGGCCCTAAGGGATCGGACGCACACAAGGCAGCTGTGATCGGTGACACCATTGGTGACCCTCTTAAGGATACATCTGGACCATCACTCAACATCCTGATCAAGCTGATGGCTGTTGAGTCATTAGTGTTTGCCCCCTTCTTTGCTACCCACGGTGGCTTGCTCTTCAAGATCTTCTAAAGATGATCAACGAATGCAGGCAACGAAGGGAGGAGTTCGCGGTGATTTCTCCCCATTTTGTCGCCTACAAATTTGGTAGTTTTTAATTTTATCGCACAATTTTTGAACGTCGTTAGAAGGCAAGGCTGAGGGGCTAAACTCCTACTTCACTTTGTATTGAGGGGGGTAGGAGGTTGACGATGATGATAATTTGGGTCAGTCTTGGTTAAATAGAATTATATGGTCAACAATATTCTTTTCTTTTTTCTTTTTATGTACCAACGGGATTGTAGTAATCATTTTGCAAACTTTTTTAGGGCAAAATCCGGTTTCAATTTTAGTTTGCAGTCGTCTTTTCCCCCCTGAGAAAGTGTATGTGTTCATCGTTTTTCGCCGGAGAGATTCTGTTGTTGAGCATTGTTGTTAACACATATATATCTAAACAGATTGTTGTCATCCATATATATCTTGCAATGATACGCTTCATAGCACCACTGCTTGATTCAATGGAGTGTTAATGACTTAACGAGTGTACGTGTTAACCGGGGAAGAAATATCAAAAATAAAACTTTTTATAATATCTCGAGGAAAATTGTCAAAGATAATACTTCTTCTCCGTACGAAATTGGGCCAGCAGTTAAAACAAGATAATCTCTTAATTTACTTGATTTATTGGTTGGTTTCTTAACACCTACTCCCTAGTGTAGCTTCCACTACCTACACCCCCCTATACGCTGTGTTTCACGCAACCCAGGAACCCCACTAACCCCACAATAACCGCAGTAAAAAAACTAACCGCCCCTACCCCATGTTATATATATATTAAAAAAAAAAAAAGAAACCCAGTATTTTCTCTCTCTAAAACATTCCTCTCAAACATTCTTCCATTTTCTCTCTCATAAAATTCAAAACAATACGAAGCATTTACAGCAAAAAATTGTCCAAAATTACTTGAAATTTAGTACAAATGTCTGAAATTCAAGGTGATAAAACAGAATCGGAACAAGATTTACCAAAAGAGTAAGTAATTTTGTTAATTTTGTTCATTTTTTTTGCAATTATAGTACGATTTTGGATATAAACCTAATTTTTGGTTAAATTTCTTGCGATTGAAGTGTAATTTCACAAAAGGAGACTTCGAAGAAGATTATTGAAGTTGAAACTGCAAAATCGGAACAAGAGTAAGTAATGTTAATTTTGTTCATTTAATTTTGCAATTGTAGTACGATTTTAAATATGAAACCTAATTTATGTTCAATTTATTGCGATTGTAGTGTGAGTTTGCAGAAGAACATTTCAGAGAAGAACATTTTGCAGAAGAACACTTCAGAAGGGAGTAATTCGGAGAAAAATACTGAAGAAATGTATGAACCCTAATTTAGTTCAATTTCTTGCGATTTAATGTGTGAACAATAATTTTTGTTAAATTCCTTGCAATTATAGTGTGATTTTAACAATTAATTAAACAAAACAGAGATGATGATGAAATACTTCTTCACTCAAGAGTAGATAAATTGAAAAAAAAGCGCGAAAAAAGTCCAATTGTAGATCCTGAACTTTTAAAAGATATTGAAAAGTCAAGTGGTACAGATCTAAAAATGTCTCCAATTTCAAGGTATATAATCATTTACATAATATATTATGTTCATTTTGAATATACTATTTGTATCCGACCATATGGTTTTATAATTGTTTAATATGTTATTTGGATTTGATTATTAATAATGTTATCATGATCTTAGTTATATAATCATATAATCATATAATCATATAATATATAATTTTGATCATATATAATCTGATAGTTAATCATTTTATTTTTTTTGTAGCTGTTCTATTTTGATAGAGTCCAGAGATTGGGGAAAAAGCCACCAAGAACAATTCCAATTATTTCTGTTTGGAAACGGGACATGGTTGTTGAAAGAATCAAAAATGAATTGGAATTGGGACTTGGTAAAGGGAAGATACTTCCTAGAATTGTTGAAGAAGCTGAAATCAGTCCTGAGGTATGTAAAATGAACACTTTGAAATACATAAATGTTCATTTCTTTAATATGAAATATTTTGGGTAAAATCTAACAATTTATCTATAATATAGATTTTTATGAATGATTTCATTGATGTGGTGATTGAAACTGGTCGTTCCTTGTCAAAACTATCAAGCAAACTGTTGAAAGCTAAGGAAATATTCCCTGAAAATGACTTGGTAAAGAAAGTTGTAGAGGTTATGGGGAAAGTGGCAAGAGAACCTTCAATCTTAAGCCAAGATGAAGAAATCTATGGCTCCGAAGATTTTCTTGAATGCAATTGCAAAAGCTGAAAGGGAATTTTTTAAAGCAGTTGATATGGAGAAAAACAAAAAAGGAAAACAGAAAAAGGAGGAGTTCAACATCAACAAAGCATTCAGTTTGGGACTTACTCCCCCATCTCCACAAATAGGTAAGAACAAAATAAAAATGTTTAAATATGATACTCAATATATTTAATGATATGTTTAACTAACAATTGTTTTTTGTAAAAAAATGAAATCTTATACAAAAAATCCAACATCTACAACAATGGGTGTTATTGCAGCTGAAGCTTCTACTTCTGTAGAAGATGAAAATCCTACTGGAAAATCTCCTCCTATAGGTAAAAAAATGTTCATAATTATTATGTATAATGTTCATATTCATATTTGTTAATGTTCATTTTATAAACTGCAGAATTGGCAGATCCAAAGAGCACTGAAAATCAAGCCTCTGGTTCTGTACAAGTTGTAGAAGACAATTCACAAAAAAAAAAAACTCCAGCAGCTAGTGAAGTTATGAGGAACAAGGAAAGTGAACAAGAACAGGGGTAAAAAACAAAACCCCCAGCAATTAGTGATGTCCCATGTATTATTAGTAATAATGTAGTTTATTTTGGTGTTTCAAAAAAACAATTTAGGTTTATGTAACTTTGAAGAATGTTTTATTAAATCAAGAACAAGTAAGGGTTATGTAATTTATGAATTTCAACATGTTATTGTAATATTAATTAGTTTTTGTGTGGTGTAAACTATTTCTATTAATAATTTAGTTGTTAAAATATAAACATAACATCATGTTACTAACTTGATTTGATTTTTCAGAAAACAAGTGAAAAATCTAACAGTGGAGATACAGAAGGAAATTTTGACAATAAAGAAAAAGAAGAAAGATTCATTTTCCTCAGGGACTGGCAAAAGGTAAAGATATTACATATCTTGCTCTACAAATAAATGAAAATTTGTGGGAACTAATATGTTCATATATAGATTACTTTTTGTTCAAGGAAGAAAATATAAAAAAAAGTCATCGAGAAGTCAAATGACACACAACCTGAAAAGAAGATAGATGACAGGTATAAAATACAATCCTTAATTTTCTAATTATTTTAAATGTTCATCTGTACATACATATATGATAATATTTGGTTCATAATATGTTCAGTTCATCAAAGAGGCCACAGCGTCAATCCCAAACTCTTCCTCTTGCATTTAGATCTCTATATATGATCAAATACAAAGATCTTTTTAAAGATGAGAAAAAAATGAATCAACTTGTATGTGACTTTGCTTATAGTAGAGAAGATGAAAGGTAACTTATTCATAATACATAAACTTTTATAAGTTTTTGAGAAATTACTCATTTACACATTGCTTAATGTTCATTTGCAGTGCACTTTTATATCATGATGGATTAAATAACATAAATAGAGCAGAAATGAAAACACTTGGAGATGATGTACAAGTTATGAATTGTGTCATAGATTCATGGGCAACAATTCTAAATCATAAGAACACAAAAAACAAGATATATTTCTCAACAATGCCACATGTAAGTTTATTTCAATTATTTTAGATTTTTATTACTCAACAAAGGTTTTATTAATTAATGTTTACATGTTTAAAAATGCAGCAAATTATGTGCACAAATAATGTTTGCAGAGAGGGGTCAACAATGGAAAAAAGATGTAAGGAATTCATAGAAAGAATAAACAATGAATTGAAGATGTACAAAATCAAAAGCATTGTTGGATACAAACAGGTAACATCAATACATATATTATAACATGTTCAATTCTAATAAATTAAATGTTCAATAATAATATATTATTTGTTCAGATATTTTTTCCAGTAGCAGCTGCCAATCATTTTTTCGTGTTGTGCATCAATCATATGAAGGATACCATCCATATCATCGACAATAGAAAGTTACCACAACATGTATCAGTACCTCAAAAGTATCTTGACCAACCAAAAATGATTGTAAGTTAAAATATTATTCAATCATTTTAATAAATGACTAATTTTTATTATATATAATTTAAATGTTCATTTTATGATCAATAAATATTCACTTGTTGATTGATAAATGTTCAAAACAGCTAAAAGGATTGGCTGCATACATGAAACATATTGGTTATGAGGATGCAAGTTTCATTGAAGATTATCAAATTGTATTGGAAAAAATGAAATGGCGCAACAATGCAGACTACAAAAACTGTGGAGTTTACATTATAAAGCATATGGAAACTTTCACTGCTGATCCTAATGAAGAATGGATTTGTGATTTGAAAGCAAACAACATAAGTATATCAAATGTTCAATTATATAACATGTAATGTTCATTTATATAACATATAATTGTTCTTAACTTATAATTCATTCTTATTCGCAGCTGAACCAAATAAGGAAACTGAGGATGCAATACACAGCTGAACTGATGCTTTTTGAAGAAAACACTGAGTCTAGGATAAACAGAAGAAAACAAGAAAGTTGGAAAAATAGTAGTAATATAGTCATTTTTCATATAAAGACAATTTCAATGTATAAACAATATTTCATGTTTAGACAATTTCATTTACATATCAGCATTATTATTTTAAAAAGTTTGTATTTGGATATTTCTTTTTAATCAATTTCATGTATACAAAAATTTCATATAAAATGTTCATTTATTTAAGCATAAATGTTCATATTCAAATATGACCATATATCATAAAAAGTTGCATGTGTTGATAAAATCATATATAATACTATGATAAATGATCAAATATAAACACATAATGTACATATATAAATAATAAAAAGAACATATTTTCAAAATATATATATAAAAAAATGGAACTGTTAATAATATTTGGTAAAAAGACATTCAAATATCAATAATGGTGTAAAAAAGATATATAATCTGACAATATAATTCTTAAAACAAGTATGAAATACTGATTATAATAATACTTGAAGAAGTATTAGCTCTCTTATTTACCACTGTTAGCTAATCTCTTAGCTACATTAGTATAAAAAAAAGCTAAAAATCTATCATACTTGGTAGAAAACTGTCCAAAACCAACATCATCATTTCTTGTAACATTAGAAGCACTCTCATTATTAGCCCTTGAAGAAGTAGCACCAACTTGAACATTCTTTTGAGTAGAAGGAAGAACAGTAGAATGTATTGGAACTGTAGGAGCCCTAAAAGCGTAATGATCATTCAAAGAACCAACACGCACCCTTTTCGAAACATTTGTAGATGTATATCTACTAGCATTGGCTTGAACATTCTTTTGCATAGAATAAAGAATAGAAGAACGTATTGGAACTCTTGGAGTTCTACTAGCAGCATTATCATTCACAGAACCAAAATGAACCCTTTTTTGAACATTTGTAGATATGTGTGAATCCTTTTCCTGCACAAGAAAATTAAACATTATGAGACAATTAAATGTTCAATTTCTAAAAACAAAATGAACAAATAAGATGATATTACCTTAGCAATAGCAGAAATATCTGGATCAACAGATATATTGGATTGAAGAGAGCTTTCGCCAGTAGCCTTTAAAAAATATTTTGAAAATGTTAAAAATGTACATATAAAATGGAAAGTACAAAATGCATCTATTAAAAATTTTGTAAATACCTGATCAACCTCATTTAGAACACTTTGATCAGAATCCTTTGAGCTAGAAGGAATATCTACAACCTATAATTTACTATTATAAATTAATTTTTATAAAATAAATATAATAATATTCATAAAATAAAGAAAATAAATAAATTAACCTGATGTAAGGGGTTTTCAAGAACAATTAAGTCAGTAGGATCATTTATAGAATTGGCATAACTAATTGCAAATCCATTCTCATCAAATTCCTAGCAAAAAAAAAAAAAAAATTATGTGTGAAATATATAATCAAATATAGTTATATAAATGTTCATTCCTGAAGATAATATTGTATATAATGAATTAAATGAACATATATGATAACATAATGATCATAAATACCTGAACAACAGCTTGACCTTTAGCTCGTATATAAGGAGTATAAATAGCCTTCCTCTTCCTCCAATTACCCTTTGCTTTGTTGCATGCTTTCTCTAAGGCACTCTTTGACCTAAAATTCCTCTCACCAGCAGGCCTTGATTTTGGTGGATTCTTGACTTCATGATCAACAATTTCAATACCTTTAGCAGGCTCACTAAAATCTATAGCACCAGAAACACTCTCAACCTTTTCCTTTAAAAGGTTAAAATAACAATCAACCTCTGCCCTTGCATTCAATGAATTTTGACAACTTGTTACCAACTTGACAAATTTCCTTAGTGTTTGTGACCTCCACACACTTGTAGCCACAACATTAGTTCTCAAAGTTGGTTCTTCAATACCATGACTACACATAGCAGCCTTTGTCCAGCGTTTCATTATGTACTCTTGTGGAATTTTACGAACACAATGCAAATGATATACTCGTAGAGAATGAGAGCAAAGCAAACCAGTTTCACTAAAGAACATGCAAGTGCAAAAGATTGCATGTGTTTCTTTATTAAAAATAACTTCATGTTTAACAATGTCCTTCCCAGGATGCCAAAGATGATACGAGTATTCAGGAAAATGCAAACCAGAATCTCGATGATCATATGCAGTACCTTTGATGAACTGCTCTTCAAAAAGCACATAAGCCTGAATAGTATATATAGTTCTTGCATGAACTAAAATCCCAATGTTAGCAAAATCTAAATGTCTATTTCCCCTCAAATTATTGTAATCTATACAACCTTCTTTGCTCCTCCACTCAGAAACAACATCTAGAAAAACATGGTAAAAGTCACATAGACCTTGTGTCTTATTAAGTCTATGAGAAACTGACTTATTAGTAGTTTCACTACGTTGAGAAGATAGAATACCACCAGACCAAAACTTCTTAGAATAAGCTGGACACCACATCTCCTTTATTTTGTACAAATCACACAACCAATCATCATTTGCACAATTATATTTCACCAACATTCTGTGAAGCAGAAATGAACATTTATCATTTCAATAAAGAACATAAAGTAATTGCATGAACATTTATATAAATATAAATGTTCATATTTAAACACAAAATTTAAATAACCATAAAGATGTACAGATTCCATATAATAATAGAATGACAAATGATCAAATTAAAAAAACTAATGTACATATATGAATAATAAAATGATCATATTTTAAGAATTATCAAATAGACAGAAAGAATAAAATATATAAATATTACCTTTTCCAGAAATGCTCAAACTCAGCAGGGGTTTCACAATATTTCAGTAAATAGCTGAACAAATCTGTAAAACCATCCAAAGCTCTCAATGCTGCAATATGCTTCTTTGAATTTTGCTCAAGATTCCATACACATAATCGATGATGGACAGTTGAAGGGAATGTGTTTCTTATACCCGTAGCAATGGCTTGTGCTTGATCAGTCATAATAGTAATGGGACTTTTCTTTCCCATTGAATAAAGAAATGTATCAAATAACCAATCAAAAGAATCAGTGCGCTCATTAAGAGTAAAACCCATACCAAACATCACATTTTTACCATGATGGTTCATCCCAACAAAAGGAGCACAAATCATTCCATATTTATTAGTTTTATATGTTGTATCAAAGGCCAATAAATCTCCAGAGTAATGATAATATCTAAGCATTCTTCCATCGCGCCAAAAAAAAATAACCAAGGCACCACTATCATCTTGTTCAAAATCATAATAAAAATCTGCTTCATCTACATGTCTCTTTGCAAAATACTTAATCAGCTGATTGCTATCACATGCATCAAGTTTGGCAGCTTTATCACATGATAATGCATTATACACATCCGAAGCCGTAAAAGTAAGGTTAGGAGACCCATCAACCTCCTTTTTTAAAGCCCTCAAAGAATCAGCAACTTTTACTCCACTCATTTTCAATGTAGAAATAAATCGAAGTTGTTCATCATTAACACTCCTTTGAGACCTTATTAAATGCCTCTTTTCAACAGGAATCATATCATGATTATGAACCATTTCATGTCTTGAACATGTTCAAACACCATCATGATCAACAAAAAACTGTATAAAAGCATTACAACCAGTTCGACAATCAAGCTTCTCATAAACCCTACGATTCCTACACTTATCATCCTTATAACCCTCATTAGCACAAAGAAATCGTTTCTTCAATAATGAGCCATCTCTTCTCCACTTACACTTCCCAACTCGAACTCCAAAACCCTTCCTAAAAGCGTACTCATTATACATTTCATAAGCTTCGTCTTCAGATTTAAATTCTTTATACAATAATTCAGACTTCTCTGCCTCTTGATATACAATACCATCCTTTTTTCCCACTACATAAATATGTGAAATAAAATTATGATCAATATCAAAAATAAAATGTACAATAACAAAACAACAAATGATCAACTATAAATAAATTTAAAATCTAATATAATTAAAAATGATAATGTACACAAATGATCATTTATCAATTTAAAATGAACAATATGAAAATATATCAGTAACTCAGTAACAAATGATAATATAAAAATGATTATTTAGAATAATACATTTGATCAAAAAAACCTATAAAATGTTTAACAAATTGAACAAATTAAAACACATTACAACATAAAAACAAATTAAATTAAGATCTAGCAAAACAAAATGTACTAAAATATACTCCGATTCTTAACATGCAAAAAATCAAATCGATAAACAAATCAAAATTATTAGCGAAATACTGAACATCAAAATACAAACAAATCAGAATTCGTGAATAATCAAAATCACAATGAACATGCAGAAATTATAAATTACAATATCAAAATCAATTACAAAATCGAAATCAATTACAAAATCAAAATTACAGGAAACATTCATCAATTACAGAATAAAAGAGCATCAAAATACAAACAAATCCAGAAATTATAAAAAATAAAGTAATAAAACAGAGCATAACATAAACACAAAAAAAAAAAAAAAAAAATTAGGATCATAATTACTCACATTGATGAACAAATGAATCAACCAATGGAACACCAGATGGAAGAACAGCTTCACAATCTCGATCAAAATCAACAGTAGAAAAATCATCCATCACGAAAAACGCAGAAATTAGATGAAATAAAATTGAAGAGAGAGAAAAAATAAGAACAAAATCAATTGAAGAGAGAGAAAATAAATGTTTAAAATGATATATATATACATAGCTTGAGTAAAAAGAAAAGGAATAAAAAAAAAGAAAATTAAAAAACTAGCCAATAATGGCAGAAAAAAAAGGGAAAGAAAAAAAAAAAGAATCATCAAAGTCAAAACGCAGCAAAACGACGCCGTGGGGAGGGGGGTGCAGGTAGAGGAAGCTACACAGGGGACTAGTGTAAAAATTGTAGTTGGTTACCAAGCTACATGGACTTTAACCTATTTAAAGCGAATAGCCTATGCCTCCCGATTTTAATCAAAACATAGCAGATTAACAATTTCATTGGTTGTTTGTAACAGAACAAATTAATTTGCTACGAAGTATAAACTAAGTTTAGATTTTATTTGAAGAAATTTAAGCGTTTGAGAGAAATAAAAAAGAGAGTTTATAGAAACTGCTTGAAAATCGAGAATTTAATGTGGAAAAAGAAGGGAAATGAAAGTATACGGCAATAGAAACTATAGAAAATGCATGGTCGAAACCTACACCTTCTGAGTAAAGTATAGGTAAAAAAAGAATTCGACAAAATTATATCCATTTTCTCTTTCCTTGATTGATATAGGCCATATAGCAGTATGTGACTCTTTATCCCCACAACCAATGAACCAACTATGGAGAGAAATAAAGAAGTTGGAGAAGAATCATGTAAATATGACTCAAAACACTTAAATCAAAAGTCCTTAGTTCTCACATTTGACCACCAATAAACAATCCTAAATTTTGAAATCACTTCGTATAACGTCCTTTGTTTTTTTTTAGCTGACACTTTTTTATTAATTCGCTTGCCAACGCATGTTTTAAATGATTAATATATCTAATTATTAACATTGTAAAATTATAAATAAAATATACATTGAAACGATTTAAACAAGATCCCATATGAATATGTTTTATCGTATCTATAAAGCACAAAAGCGACTCAAAACATGCTATATGAATAGCGTAAAATTCAAACGATGTCAACTTATAAAAACGGAGGAAGCACTTGACCCATTCATAGCTGCAGCGGGTTAGGGTTTTTTTTTTTTTTTTTTTTTTTTTTTTTTTTTTTTGTTTAGCTCAACTCTAATTGCGATTACCAAAACAAAAAACTAAAAAATATTCCGTACGAAGTAAATAAAAAACCGGATTACCTCCTCTTTCTCCCTCTCTCTCCGTTGAAGCGCACTCATCGTTCTCCATTGAAGCGCCTTCTGATACTCCTATCCTCCATTAAAGCTGCTTCAGAGGTAATTTAATTTGCTGTTTCTATTTCAAATCATCATCTCAATTTCACAATCTAGGGTTTTAACTTAATTTTATTTAATTTAATTGTCAGTGTAATAAGTTTAGGGTTCCAAAATTATTACTAAGATTAGATGAAAGATCATAACTATCGATTGTGTTGCTTTAAATTTCATAATCCCTGATGATTCAATCAATTTTAATGTTATAATTGAACTGTATTTGATGATTTGTTTGATTTCGCATCTCATACGATGTTGGGTTTATTTTAATTTTATTGTTCATATCCGTGTTTTATGCAGTATTATATTTATGTTGTGAGCGGAAGGTCGCGAGTTGGCCGGATACTATGGGTTCGTACAAGGAGTCGGACCCCTCGTTGGGGTTCCTAACAAAGAAGGAAACCGAAGTTAAGCTTCCTCGATCCACCCGAGTCAAGAACAAGACTCCTGCTCCTGTTCAGATCACTGCTGAGCAAATTCTGCGTGAAGCTCGTGAAAGGCAAGAATCTGAAATCCGTCCACCCAAGCAGAAGATTACTGATTCGACCGAGCTTGCAGATTATCGTCTTAGGAAACGAAAGGAGTTTGAGGATTTAATCCGGAGGGTGCGGTGGAATGTTAGTGTGTGGGTTAAGTATGCTAAATGGGAGGAGTCACAGAAGGATTTTAAACGTGCTCGTTCGGTTTGGGAGCGTGCTTTGGAGGTTGATTATAGGAATCATACATTGTGGTTGAAGTATGCGGATATGGAGATGAAGAATAAGTTTATAAATCATGCTCGGAATGTGTGGGATCGTGCTGTGTCTTTGCTCCCGAGAGTGGATCAACTGTGGTATAAGTATATCCATATGGAGGAGATGCTTGGGAATGTGGCTGGTGCTAGGCAGGTGTTTGAGAGATGGATGATGTGGCAGCCTGACCAGCAAGGATGGCGCTCCTACATAAAGTTTGAGTTGCGTTATAATGAGATTGATCGCGCTAGGGGTATTTATGAGAAGTTTTTGCAGTGTCATCCAAAGGTTGATGCGTGGATACGTTATGCTAAGTTTGAAATGAAAAATGGGGAAATTGCTCGAGCTAGGAATGTCTATGAGAGAGCGGTTGACAAGTTGGCAGATGATGAAGAAGCAGAGGTGCTGTTTGTGGCTTTTGCGGAGTTTGAAGAAAGGTGCAAGGAGACGGAACGTGCTAGATGTATTTATAAATTTGCACTCGACCATATCCCTAAGGGACGAGCAGAGGAGGTGTATAAGAAGTTTGTTGCTTTTGAGAAGCAGTATGGAGATAAGGGAGGTATTGATGATGCAATTGTGGGAAAAAGGAGATTTCAATATGAAGATGAAGTTAGAAAGAGTTCTTTTAATTATGACACTTGGTTTGATTACATTCGGTTGGAGGAAAGTGTAGGTGTCACAGATAGAGTCAGAGAAGTTTATGAGAGGGCTATAGCCAATGTTCCTCCAGCTGAGGAAAAACGCTATTGGCAGCGTTATATTTACCTATGGTAGGTATTGATAATAAAATTCTGCAGTGTATCTGTTTTTGTTAAAGTGTAGTGAATACTGAGCATCTTCTGTTTAATTTCTAGGATCAATTATGCTCTATATGAAGAACTTGATGCACAAGATATGGAGCGAACTAGAGAAGTATACAGGTATATTTTAGACTACTACATTGACGCTAATGTCTTTCACCTTTTGTTGGACAAATGTGGGAGTCGCATGCACTTTTCATATATGTATATGAATGAAAGTTATCTGTAATGACATTTCTAGTGTAATAAGGCTTAGCCTTATTAGGCTGAAGATGCCAGCCATCTTCTCTCTTTGACGAAGAAGAATTGACCCACATATGTGCTTAGATGAAGATGTGTTGGCAGTATGTAGATATGTAAGAATAGTGTAGGATGCTTGTCTAGTCTTATAATATTTTGTTTCTTATAGCTTTGAGTTTTTATCTTTTTTCGGTGCTAGATATTGGCATGCTTGTTTAATACCTTCTGTGGAGGAATAAATTAGCTCTTAAACTGTAGGTATCAGGCTTCATCTTGGGGTGTAAAATGTCTTTTACAACATCCGTTCATCTAGAGACTAAGTATAGATTCTTAGTGCACACTGGCTACCTGATGCTGTTGTAATGCCAGTGTGCCTCAAACTCTGATCTAGATGGTAAAAATGGATGTGGTAATGTCATAAGAGTTTTTAAGGGAATGGAAAATACAAATGTTTATAAAACTCATTTTCCCCAAAGGATGACTGCTAGCCTTTAAAATAAAAACAAAACACACCTTTACAACCGACCCTACTCTACAAAGTGCAAAAGCAGCACAGTACAAGAACACTTCCCTGTAGTCCAGGGGAAACGGTCGAAAAGGGAAGTAACTTATCTTGGAACTGAAAGTGATTAGGTAAATTTCAGAAAAGACATATGAAACCTGAAAAAGAAGAAGATACTTACTTCCAATCATCATCACATTCAGGCACTAGTTTGACTAATTTTGCAATTTGATGCTTTGTAAATTTCTCTAGCATTTAGTAAATAAATATCCCAATCCTCTCCTGCCATTTTTCACAGATTGTAGTAATCAGTTCAACTTGGAAATTCTTTCCTTTTTTAAACCCCAGCATAGCAGCATATATAATGTAAGATCAGGAAGAGGATTGAAACATCTGAAAAATTATTGGCCAATATTTAGTTTTGTGTTTTGTGGGTACTAACTGTGGAGGAAAATTGTTTTTAACTCAACACCCTCCAAATTTGGTCTCTAAAACACAATATTCCGGATATATTTGGTTTCCTTTTTTTTTTTTTTTCATTTAGTTTTGTGTCTTGTGGGTACTAACTGTTGCCCTTGCTTCATTCAGGGAGTGCCTTAAGTTGATTCCTCACGACAAATTCTCCTTTGCAAAGATTTGGCTTTTAGCAGCTCAGTTTGAGTTACGACAATTGAATCTCAATGGAGCTCGCCAGATATTGGGGAATGCCATTGGGAGGGCGCCAAAGGATAAGGTAGCATCATGTGTGGAACTTCATTTACATAGCTGTCAAATTTATATGTTCATGCTATAACAATTGTGTTTTTCCCTGACAGATTTTCAAAAAATACATAGAAATAGAGCTGCAATTGGGAAACATAGATAGGTGTCGGAAGCTATATGAAAAATATTTGGAGTGGTCACCAGAGAATTGCTATGCATGGACCAAGTATGCTGAGTTGGAGCGTTCTTTGTGCGAAATTGAAAGAGCTAGGGCTATCTATGAGCTTGCCATAGCTCAACCTGCATTGGATATGCCGGAACTGTTGTGGAAGGTAATTAACTATGACCTTCCTTTTGGATGTTGTTTGCTTTTATCATTGGGGAAAAAAGTACTTGTAAACTCCTAGTTGAAGTTTATGTGATGGATAAAGTGTTCTAGCTTTGCAATTGCTATAAAGCCGCTTCCTTGTATCTGAGATTCCTGCTTTGATACTTTGATAGCCTGTGGACTCTTTTGGCCTGGTCTCATTTATTCAGTCTCTGTATAATAAAATTGGATCTTTTCCTAAGTATGCGATCTTTTCTGTATAATAAAATAAGGATTAGATGCGATCTTTCTGGTAGTTTCTTACTTTATCAATCCAATTTCTGACATGCCCTAAGTAATTATGGTTGTTTGGTCTCTACTTATCTATAAGTATTTGATTAATGTGTCTTTTATCTTGATTCAGCATAGTTGACGTGTAGGTTTGCATTCAGATCATTTGAGCTATATTTTTGGTCTTTAAGAAAAAATTAACCTCCTTATGAGTCTTGATGTGTTAATTGGATCATGTTGGACGTTCTGACTTCTGAGGCATGCATATCTTTGTTTATAAAAACCCTTTGGCTTTATGACAGGAAAACATATCTCAATTTATATTAACACTTTGGCTTTTGACAGGCATACATTGATTTTGAGATAGCAGAGGGCGAATTTGAAAATACAAGAGCTTTATATGAGAGATTGCTTGACAGAACAAAGCATTTGAAGGTGTGGATCAGCTATGCCAAGTTCGAAGCTTCTGCTGCAGAGGAAAATGGTGGCTCAGACGTGCCAGAGGATGAGCCCCAAGAACTTCTACTTGAAAAGAAGAGATTGTGTGTACAACGTGCTAGACGTAAGCATCTCGTCCTCTTAATGTGGGAATTCTTTACTGAGTTTTCAAGAAGATACTATACCTGACACATTAGAAATATACCAGTTATATGTGTGTGATTTTCCTAACCAGTATCTAAATAGTCTGTTCGTTATCGTTGCAATTTTTTTGTGTTCTCAGTTTTATTCAAAAATTAAAAATTAGTTTAAGCCTGAGAAAGATTTTTTTTTTTTTTTTGTTTATATATATTATTGTCAGTTATCAAAATAAGTGATTGGTACAAGGATGACTAGTATTTAGTTAATTATATTATTACTATTTCATATGATTTTAAAATCTCACGTCTAAAACACATGAAAATGGCAGTGACCCCAAAGTGGATGCCTCCATTTTATGTCTTCTCTGAGTATTGATCTCTTTCTTTAGGTGTCAATTGATTTTGTAGCCACTAATTTAGAGTCAAGTGAATGGACTTTTCTTGTTTTAATTTTTATTTTACAATCTTCTCGTAATGCTGTGATATAAGCGGTATGCTAAGTGAATTTCATCTCTACCTGTCATATTGGAGCCTTATTTGAGGTATTTTGGGGTATTTTTTTGGTGTGAGACTAGGATAATCTTAGGCAATGGTAATGATTAGTTTTATCTTGACATTGCGTCCCATCATGAACTTTGGGGTCTATGTTATGATATGCTGCAAATTCAACTTTGTACTTTATATTTCTGCAACTGCATTACAACAAATGCTTATCTGCGAAACCCCTTTTTTTCATCAAAAGATTCTGCTTTTGTAGCCTTGTACAGCTGAGCTGAAATTCTTAACTTATTTGTTTCATTCTTCAGGGGTATTTGAAAAAGCTCTAAATCATTTTAGAGTTTCCGCTCCTGAGCTGAAAGAGGAGAGAGCTATGCTCTTGGATGAGTGGCTGAAGATGGAGAAAGATTTCGGCGAGCTTGGCGATGTTGGTTCAGTTCAAGCTAAAATGCCGAAGAAACTCAAGAGGCGACGACCTCTAATGACAGAGGATGGTCCAGCCGGGTATGTGAAAGTCTATTGCCATCACTTGTTTGCATTTCATGTGTTATATTTTGAAATCAGGTTGACCCCTTTGGTCTGATTCAGGGCATGTGAAATTCATTGTATCTAGTTTTGTCCACATTTTGTTCATGTTATTTTGAAATTGTATCTCCTGGTGTGACATGATCTCACACTCTTAAAATCTAACAGATTCGAGGAGTACTTCGACTATATGTTCCCCGAAGAGACACAAACTACCAATTTGAAGATCTTGGAGGCAGCATACAAATGGAAGAAGCAAAAAACTGGAGCTAACGAGTGATTACGAGTACCTGCTTTAAACCTTTTTTTTTCCCCAGTAAATCAGTTACTTTGTACTCAGTTTTGTAGTATCTCTGTATGTGTAGATGTAAAAAAATTTCAATGGCAAATTATTCTTCAATGTAGAATTGTTTGCAAGTGTTGTATACTTCAATACTTGTATGATATTTCCCTTGAGAAAGTTATTGTTAAAATTGAAATTTGCATCTTTATACGAGTAGTATTATGATACCATGGTTCGACAATTTCTGTTAAATGTTGATACTTGATAAGCTATACTTGGTAAGCCGACCACTTTCTTTTCTCAGGACATAACATTTGGATCAATATCAAATCGCCTGACCCAAAAACGAGTTACGAACAAAGTTTTGACCTTTAAACTTGGTTACATTCGAAACGGGAATAGCTTGATAAATTTTTGGTGATAAATTTCGATTTCAGGAGATCTCGGAATCGATTGTCCGTCCTTGTGACTTTATACACCTTCCTATTATTGTAAATACCTTTTGATATTATTATTCATTGAATTTATCCTTGCATATATTATATAATTGAGCAACTTTGAGAATTATATAATTAGAAATTGGGTAATTTTTATATAGTAGACTTAGTGGTCCATGCTATTGAGGACAGCAAAGATTAAAAAGCACATGGCTGTTGCTAGATTTGATTCGGACAATCCGTATATTCATTTGGCACAATCATGACAAGACTAAACATAACTAGTTATTCTAGCCATTAACTATACAAGATACAAGCCGAGAGGCCCAAGAAACACACGCAGTGTGTGTGCAACCATAAAAAAAAAAATAAATAAATTATGTTTAATAATTATAACTATTGAAAAAAATGGCAAGTTTTATTTTGCTTATAACTAATATGCCAGCTATTAAGAATTCCTTTCCAATTTTCCATACTCTCGTATTATTTCTTTCAAGTTTATCATATCCAAGCATAACAAATTAACTGTGTTTTCACCATCTTGTCCCAAAAAAAAAGTGACGGTGATTGAAAATAAAAACTTTAAAAAGGAGTTAAGGGGCCGTTTGGTTGGGGGTAATCAGGAAAGGGAATGGGAATCAACTGGCCCCATTCCCTTTGTTGATGTTTGTTTAGCACTTTTAATCATTCTCATTACCCTCCCCATTACCCCAAATCCTTCCAACTCCATTCCCCACCTCCCCAGACTTTCCCATTCCCTTTCCCTACCCACCTTCACACCACCACATCACCACCTTCACACCTACCAACACCACCGGAAAACCAGCCCGACCACCACCGCCCCTACCCCGACCACCGCCGCCCCCCCAAGCCTCGCTGCCCTCCCCTCCCACGCAAAAACCACCCCTAGCCCCGCAAAACCCTAGCCCCGATCTCTCTCCCACCACCTGCGAAACCCTAGCCGCCCCTTCCCCTCCCCTCGCCGCCCACCGATAAACGCGCGCCGCTCAAAACCCCCTCCCCTCGCCGCCCCAAAACCCCTCCCCTACCTCGAAAAACCTCCGAAAACCCTAAGGGAGGTTTTTCGAGGGTGAGATTCGTTGTTTTGGCCCCAGCGAGTGGTGGGGGAGAGTTTGCGAAGGGCGGCGAGGGGAGGGGGAGAGCCGGCGAAGGGAGGGGGAGGGTCGGCGATGGGTTTCGTGGCTGGGAATGATGAAAACCATATGAATTGTGTGGTGGTGTGGTGGTTGTGGTGGTGGTGGTATGGTGGTGGGATTGATTCCCTTGTTTTAAAAACAAACAACAAAGCAAAAAAAGGGTATTTTCATTCCATTCTTCTCCTTTCCCTTTGTTCATTCCATTTCGATTCTCTCGTGCGAACCAAACGGCCCCTAATATTGTGATTGAAACTGTTTTTTTATTTTTTAAAAAAATTGTACAGTTAATTTATTCAAACGTGGTTTAACTTATGCACAATTATTATTACCTTTATTATTATTATTATTATTATTATTAAATAATTTAATATCTTTTACTATTTTATGGGTAGTTATGATATGACAATGTATTTTTTTATTTATTAAAATAATGATTTATGTTTACAGGTAGTTATGATAGGATAATTTTTTTTAATTATGGATAAATAATGTTATTTTTACAAAGTAGATGGGTATTTTAGCTTTTCAAAAAAAAGTAGATGGGTATTTTAGGAAAAGCAAAATGTATCAATGAAGAAGCCCATTTGCTTTGTATAGTACTATAAATATAGAGTTTTTTAATTTTAAAACTTATCCGGGGTTAATGGTTAAAAGGGAAAATATTAGAGCGAAAGTGACAAAAGAAGTTAGAAAGATTTGGTATTTGGAGTTAGTAGCAAAATATAGGAGTATTGCTTTGAATTTGAAATTCAATCCATCCAAGATACTAAAACGTTATGGTTGAGTTGTTCTCTAGGTTTAGCACCATTCTATTATACAATGAAAATGACTTGAGTAGTAAGTGATTGGAGCTACGCAATATCTTGCTCTTGGACAGATGAGTAAGTGTTATTTAATGTACCTTTCTAGCAATATAAATATAAACATATGTACACCATTTATCATCTACAAAATGTCAAATTATAATTAGTATTTGTAAGACATTATCAAGATAATAGAAAAATTGATTGGAAATGAATTGTTAGTAGCTACCAAATTAAGGTAGATTCATACTAAAATACACTGAATACCATCAAAATAAAGATGGTCAAAGTATTATTAACAAGCTTAAAATTAAAAAAGAGGATACAAGTTGTTATAAAGAATCTCAAGAGGAATACAATTAAGGCTTTTAATGTCATTAATCCAAGGTAGTCTTTTATTGACAAGTTTCATTATTGGTAGGAATCTCTTGAACCTTCATGCTATATGTTTAGGGTAAAATTACCCATGACAAATGGACCAATCCGGACCTGCCACGTGTCCACCACGTGGGCCAATCAGCGTCCGCCACTTGTCACCCTAATAGGTCCAACATGGACTAATCAGGTCACATCATGTTGGCCCATTATCCGCCAACCTGGAAAACGGCCATCGCAGGCCCAATTCCCGAGGCAAGCCCAATCAGTCTTAGGTTTTCCCAGAAAACCTAGTATTGGGCACATACTTCGAGGCTATATAAACATGTCATTAGCCTCCATATTCAACAGAATGACTCTCACCTAGAGAAGTCTAAACACATTGATCACTCCTCCCCTAGAGGAACCAGATCTCCCCCCTTTAATTTCCGCATTTATTACTCCTCAAACAAGTACTAACTTGACCGTTGGAGGCGGAGCTCTCAGGAGTCTCCGTTATTTTGCAGGTACAGGCGGCCGGTTCCAGTCTTGGTGTTGTAACTCTCCCGCAGGACATCAGAAAACCCCGAAACATTTGGCGCCGTCTGTGGGGAGAGTACTTCTGAGATGGCATCCACGTCTGTACCGACTCTTGAAGAGAGGCGTCCCCTAGACGACCCTCAAGATCAGTCGGACCATGATACCGACGAAGAATATGAAGTTGAGACTCACACGGCCCCTGACGGGTCCCTCAGAGCTCGACGCACCCGAAAGGAAGGAACGGGGAGCCTGCCTGGCTAAATCAACAGGCGGCCGAGGGATCTGCCCCTATAACCAGGAATGAACTCATGGCCCTCATGAGTACTTTCAAGGGAAAGATCCAAGAGCTTGTCAATAAAAAGGCTACCGCTCCACCAAAGGAACAGTCGGCCAGATCAAACCACTCCCAGTTGAAGTTACATGCGCCTCGCATGAAACTACTGGGTACAACCGGCAATATACCAACCTCCGAGCATCCGACCAGGCGGCCAACTACTGCAGGCGTCATACGGCCGAATGCAAAGAGTCAGACGGTCAAGCTTGTAAGCTATTTATTATTATCATAGCAGCCAAAACAGCCGTCACCATAGCTGGTACCAGCCGGCCAGACGACAGTATCTTCTGGATCCGGCACAAACAGTAAATACTCCGGGCCCATTTTGTGGTTAGCAATAAAGCTCGCCACGTTGTCTCGCATGGTTGCGATCCGGCCCCGGGGCACCCTGCAGTAGTAGGGGGTGTTTTCCTCTCTGTAAGAGGCGGACGGCTCTGCCCAATTATCCCCCTTCTCCACTGCATGGGAACTTCTCGCCTCTTGTAGGCGGTTATGTTTTTCTTCTGAGTCAGAAGAACTATGGTCAGAAGAACTATGGTCAGAAGAGCTGGAATCGGACTCGTCCCCTGACGAGTCCGAAGAGGACGACGCCTCCCCTCTCCTAGAGGGGCCCGCCTCCTCTCCCCTAGAAGGAGCAGAAGGTAAATTAGACATGTCCACGGTTAGATGAGAAGGGAACACCTTGGTCCCTCTCTCAGAACTGTCAGCTTGACAGTCGCCTCGTTCCACATCTGGCGCCTGGTCCACTTAACTTGTGGTAATATGTATGGCAAAGCTCCACTTAAGAGCCTTAGGTGGCAATCCACTACAATAATTAAAGCTGAGAAATTTGTACATTAGAGAGGTGTGTCAGGAAGTGTGGCATTTGCAATTTGACGCCTGCTTTCATTAGGGGGCAACCCACTACAACAATTAAAGAGACAAGTACATTAGAGAGAAGCTTGAACATGCGGCACCCCAATGTCGAGCCTCAAGCTAGCAGGAAATATAACAGCCGCAATAAAACCAACCATGATTAGCAAAACAGCCGGCTAATTCATAAAAGTAGCCGGCAGTATCACAAGCATAGCCAACAAGCCTCCCAACTCCACATAAACAAGCGGCAATTATGTGCCAAGCTAACTCTAAAATACACGGCCAAATGCCGAGTTCGAGGCGAAAAGGTTTCAACTCCATGAAAACAAAGCAATCTTCGAATTTTGTTAGACAATGCATAATAAGCAAGTCAACCGGCACTATGTGGATAGCTCAGACACTGGGCAAATAATACAGTCGGCCATCTTTACGCATTTCGTTGTGTATCCAGCAAACTAGCAACCGGCTATTATGGTGGAATGTGGAAACAACCGGCTGTATAAACATTTAGCTTCCTGAGCATTCGTCCATTCAACGCCAAAGCTTCGAATGAGATTAAATGTATGAGCATACATGCGGCTTCCCTTATGCAATAGTTGACAGTCCACCTGATCAGGGGCTATCTGCATAGTAGGGCAAAGAATCGGCATCTGTCTAGTTCGGCGGCAATCATTATTATGATTGATTAACTTTGAAAATGTCATACCGCCCAAGGTATCAAAATTTTCTAAGTTAA